AAAAATAAAATATTAATAAATAAAAAATATAAAAAGAATGGCATAGATTGATAGATATGCAGTTATTAATAACATCTAAAAAAATAAATAATGTAACTTTAAAAAAAGAAAATAATTCCCCTTTCCCTCAAACTTTGCGTGACCCCCCCTGATGCCCCCTGATGCCCCCTGATGCCCCCACTTTGAAAAACACTGGATTAACTGATCCACTGTCATTGGTACTGCATAAAAAACATCACTGGCTGGAGAGAGCACAGGTCCCAGTCCAATCCTGTGGCAAGACTGAGTACAAGGTTTTAGTTCCACGATGCCACCAAACACCTACTCTGGGATACGGCATTTTAGACAGTCATTTCTGGGAGAAGATTTTGGTCAGTTACAACAGTTGTAGAATTTCATCACTTAAAAGTTCCTACTTGGTGGCTTTGGGTGGTCTGTTCTAATGATGTGATAAAGTCCCTGAAATGGTGTGAAAACCGGTGGAATATCAATAACTCATTATACTAATTTATCTTCAATTCTGGTCTACTTGAAGAACTATGCTAACCCCTTTAACAGTGTGTGGAACCTTGGGTGCCCGAGCATGTGATAATTACTCCCTCCTTTATCAAGGATTTTAAAAACAGAAGTCATTTCATTAATGGTTTATAGTTCAATTCAGGAATTTTCACTTATGGCAGATATGTTTCTACTTTAAATAACATCTCTTAATTTCAGGTCATCACTGATTAAATGGATGACCATTAGGAGGTGGTGGCACTTGTCTTTTAAAACTCATACTCTGGTGCCGTGCGCTCCCTGTGAAGCTGCAAGTAAGATTTAAAACATCTGCAGAGTGAGTTGAGCGACCCCTTCTCCCTGAACGACATTGGTTGTCGAAAATATACACCATTACAATGAGCGATCCAAGGCCACGCATGTATTACTCCCAATTATATTAGTTTTTTCAAAATTAAAATTTGCAATCGCTCTTTGCCCAGTTTCTTTTTAAAACTCTACATCTTGGACGACAAACACATGTTATTTCCACCTTAACTCTTAAGCCCCACGGACCCGAGCTCGGGGCCAAAAATGCTATATATGTAGCAACAGTGCTATATCTGAAGTGTCATTCATGAAACTATAAATGTTCCATACCCATCCGACCGGAGGAAACTTGGCTAACTGACGATACGGAAAAAAACAAGTCTCACAAGCCACTAAATGACACAACTAAACTAAACACAACTACATGAGCCCATGGCAAAAACGGGCAATTGCTATTTCTGCTCATAACTCACAAAAACGATCATTTATAATTCATACTTTCTGCACAAACAACACATCTTCTGAAAGCTGAGATTCCACAGATTCCATGGGTATACACCCCATCACTACAGGCACAACATTAACCGAGCTAGCAGCCAGAACATAGCAAGTAAACAATATCAGTTTTCAAATCCATGACAATAATTAGGTCTTACCGTGGCTGTTTTGTGATCAAAAGTTGTGTTCAAAGGAATAAAAAACGCTGCTCAAGGTTAATCCAATGTCTCTTGTCACTTTAAAATGATTACTGATAATCAATCCTTTCATTCACGACAGAAGAGTAGGTCCAACGATTAACAGTCCGTGGCTTCAGCTGCGGGAGATGCAGTTTACGCATAGCTCCCCCTCCGCAGGCGTAACGTATTTACGTATTTTGAAACTGCCACTCGATTCGATTGGCTCTAACGATTCAAAAAAGGTGTCAATCACCCAAATCGACCAATGGGTTCCAGAGATAGGATCTTGTGTAAGTATAAATAAAGGCAGTATAGCTGGTTTACGCACACGCCCTTTTACGCAGCATAGCATAGCATAGCATAGCATGTCATGTCATGTCCCGTCCCGCGGCAACAGGAGAGCAGAGAACGGCAGATCGATCAGCGAACCGCAGGATTTGTTTTCTTTGTCTTCATTGTAACAACGGCAGCCAGAAAGAAGACTTTTTTTTGTCCGTCGAGGAGGCATTGGACATCGTATTTCAGGACTCTCCGTCGGAAGATAGTGATCTCGTCACGAATAAAGGGGACAGTAATGACTCTGATTATGAACCTCCGTCACCGGAAAGGTAATCTCTCTGTTTGTATCTATTACTTATTTATTTGGTGTAAGAGTATTCATCTGTTTTTATCTTTTTGTTATTTATTTGGTGTAAGAGTGTATTCATCTATAGTAATTTCACACACGTGACAATAACACGACGGCATCCATCTTGTGATATAATGTTCTTTCACACACTCAACAACAAACAAAGAAGATGGATGCCGTTTCTTGTTCTTGTTGTTGAAATAAACAAGACTTATACATGTTGAATTTAACACGGTATTACATTTCATTTAGCTGACACTTTTATCCAAAGTGACTTACAATTATTACTTATATTATATACACATGCATATATATATATATATATATATAAAATATACACATACATAAATATATGAAAGACGGAATATTAATATTAAATATTGAACAGATTATATGAACCCTGTCTCACATAATTTACACGGTATACATTTTGAGTGATATAATGTTATTTCACACTCAAAATGGATGTTCTGCTGTTGTTGTAGAGAAATTATTATTTTCATTTTTGAAAGTACAAGCCAGAGAATTAATCTATTTGTTTTTTCCACATTTGTTTTCACAGGGAGAAAGGCGATGATGAAATGGCTTCTGGATCATAGCCATCAACGTCTGCGTCCAAGCTACGATGTCATTCAGAGCCAGCCACACCTAAGATACAACGCCGGGCATCTGCACCAGCAGTAACTCAGCCTGCCCCTGCATCTTCTGATGAAGATGCACCATTCGAGCCGCCGTGCAAAAGAAAAGGATTAATACACTAATTGCAAACACAAACGCAAAGGCCCTGAAGAGATTGCAGGCAGGGAAGAAGATGGTTTGGAAAGTGCTGACTCAGGAAGAGTTTTTTATTTTCCTGGGCATTATCATTTTCTCAGGCCTAGTTCACGTGCACCAGCGAACAGACTACTGGAAGACTGCATGGGCGGTGTGGATGTGTCTGACGTTTTGATTGGATACTACAGCGTTCATCACAAAACGATGAAATGGTACAATAATTATTTTTACCATTTTATGGACATTTCCGTGGTGAACAGCTTCCTTCTCCACAAGGAGCTGCACAAGAGGAGGGGTGACCCCGCCAGGGCGAAGCCACTCACACAGAAGTCCTTCAGGGAGCAGCTTGCTAAAGAACTGGTTGAGTTTTCTGGAGTCCCTGCAGCAGCAACACCCCGCCCACCAACCCCCCCCCCCCCCCCCCACCATCACTCACATGCATGCCCGAGTATTATGGGGAAGATGCCACCAAGGTCAGGAGGTACTGCAGGAGGTGCTCTGATGCTGGCAACAGAAGGGTGAAGACACCTGTGTACTGCAGGAAGTGTCAGGTCCCTCTGTGCTTCACTACCAAAAATAACTGTTACAGGGCATGGCATGACTGGAGTAATACTGTAACATTCAGGGTTTGTATAAAGTTTTGAGTGTTTATTACCCAAATAATACTTGTTGTTTTTACCTAAATTTTTCTTGTATAGTGTGTTGCTAATTTTTTTTAAATAAATCTGCTCCAGTTGGAGTCAAATGTTTCCTAATTTTTATTGAGCAAGTAACATGCATCTCATGCAAAGAGGGAACTACCCAACACACCCACACACACATTTTTTTATTTTTTTTATGGAATGAATACCTATAGTGATAATTAAATGTTATACAATGATTTTTATAGTCTGGTACCTGAAAAACGTTAAATGGCACTGATGGAACCAAATGTGCCCAAAGCTTAGTCCGCTTGTACCTTTTTTTGCTAAACATCTCTAAAAAGGCCAATTTCCCCTTGTTTTGCCTCAATCTTGATACAGAGTACTTATTATATGTTATACTTTGGATTCTTAAAGCTTTTAGGCTACTAACCCATCATTCAAGGGTGGTTTTCACTATAAGTAATGGGTTTTATTTGGGCGGAGACAAGAATTGACACTTTTTAACTATGTTCCATCTGGATTTACTCTGACACTGAAACATCTTTATTGATTCTGACACTTCTACATCCAACTCACAGATGTGACCTTGCTTTGATAAAATACATTATTCATATAACCCTTTTAGAAGTTAAGTTATAGTCCTTTGTTTTGGGCATGTCATTTTCGAGCCTGAAAGCTGCAAAACTGGCTTGGGGTTTAAGATTAAAGAGTGAATGTTAATACTATAAAATGTTGTCATCACCACTATAAATGTGCTATTTTACACAAACTATCATTAAAATACTTGTACAACTGCGAGAGAAAAAATAAATAAGGAAATGCTTTTTGAAAGATTGTATTAAAACAAACCACAAAAGTACAATAAATACAACAAAGACTTTAAATAAAATAATTAAATACTGACATTACTATTCACAGCAAACCAATACATGTAAGTATACAAAAATAACGTTCATATTTCTCCTGATTATCATAGTGTTGAACGTTCAAAACAAAGCACTTAGGCAAGTTACCACATCAGTTGTAAAATGCTTTATAATCACCGTAACTTTCATGATATAATTTCTCGGTCATAATCGTCTGTTTCCGTGAACGGCCGAAAGTTGAGTCACGGTAAATGTTGCGGCCTCTGATGCGATGATTTGACATGTATCTGAAGAGAGAAGAGAGCGTGATGTGACGATCAGATATAAATACCATATAGGCCTAAATACGATCAGATATAAATACCATATAAATACGATCAGATATAAATACCATATACATACGATCAGATATAAATACGATCAGATATATTTCCAGAGAAACTCCACCTCTCCCTTTACGCTGATACAATGTGAGGACAAAACATGAGGAGAGAGAGAGAGAGAGGAGAGAGAGAGAGAGAGAGAGAGAGAGAGAGAGAGAGAGAGAGAGAGAGAGAGAGAGAGAGAGAGAGAGAGAGAGAGAGAGAGAGAGAGAGAGATGGACCAACTGCTGCTTCTGCTTCTGCTCTGTAGCTCAGGTAGGAATCCAATTTAAACTTTATGTTTTATTATATTTAAATATCTGTTTGATCTCTTAAGAAAAAACTACTCGTAAACACTGACAGGAAGACACACACACACACACACACACACACACACACACACACACACACACAGGCCCGGCGTCATCACAGACATGGTGCACTTCAATGCTACGATGTCTGTGATGTTATATAGTAATTCAAATGTATAAAAATAAATCCGACGTCAAATATAGACTTTAGTGATTTGTGATTAGCCCACATTTAGACCAATCCCTATTCAGAACAGATCACGCAATTAAGTTGTTGTGCCTCACATATTCCGGAGTTGCAGAATGTGGGGACCTGGAAAGCATCACGCAGTAGGGAGATGGTTTGCATGTGGAGTAGACATCGTGGTGCTTACTGCGTATCACACACCGATCACGCACTGCATAACGAGGTGTGGCTCTGTGTTCTGTGCTCGCTGCTCGGTCAGCGGTTGCCCAAGTTGAAGGCCCAAGCAAAGCTGCTTTGTGTTGTCACTGTGAATGTGTGCCTTGCTCCTGAGCGCTGTGCTCCCAGTGATTGTGCCGCCGTGCACACGGTGTTTCAAACGTGGTTGCTCTTTACACTGGAAAAAATGCTGCTCCTATAAAAAGTAAATATATAATAAAAACAAGGTGTTTTCGCTTTTAATAAGTGAATACATCAGCCAATAGAACAAGTACAACATGGCTCGGTGAGAGTTCTTGAAGTAAAGATGGGATAATTAGATAAATTAGATCTTGTATTTAGCTGGGGAAACTTATTTGGAACTATATTTGACCAGAATCAGGGAATTGGTACATGTGGACATTTTCTATTTTCTGATGTTAGCTGATTTTCCTCTAAAATAAGATGTTTTTAAGAGACTTTGACTTAAAAAGATGCTTAAGACGCCTTGTCTAAAAACAAGACTTAAAGGTGGGGTATGTACGTTTCAGAAACCGGCTCGAGATACACTTGTTATATTCCATGCAATGCTCTTAACATCCCGATAGCAATGAATATCTGAAGTGCTTTGACAATAAATCCATAAAAAAACATCATCTCTGGAAGCTGTAGCGCTGTAAAAAGCACGACCAATCATCTGAGCCGGCTAAAGTAACTGGATGGCCTACCTGCCTGTCAGCCTTCCATCTGGGCACACACTTATCTCGTGCCCTCATTGGTCATGTGTGCGTTCGTGTGTGTTGGAGGAGGGGCTCTGGAAGGAAGTGGCAGATTTTCTCCGGTCGCGTATTTTCAAACTCGAGCCAGTTTCTCAAACTTACATTTAAGTTATTCTTATATCCAATGTAACGACATATTCTGACTAGAAATCAGACAAATATACTTGGCAAGATTTTACACACACACACACACGCACACACACACACACACACACACACACACACACACACACACACACACACACACACACACACACACACACACACACACACACACACACACACACACACACACACACACACACACACACACACACACACACACACACACACACACACACACACACACACAACAAAGAGAACCAGGAATATGCTCCACTGAAGAAATATGACATAACCACTGCAAACCACGCAATATTAAAACAAGTACGGGTCAGTTAGTTAACGTCTGCAGTTAGTGGTAGGGGAGTGAGGCGTTCAGGTGACAGCAGCAGGTGGGAACTGGCAGCATCTCTTTCAGTTAGTTAACGTCTGCAGTTAGTGGTAGGGGAGTGAGGCGTTCAGGTGACAGCAGCAGGTGGGAACTGGCAGCATCTCTTTCAGTTAGTTAACGTCTGCAGTTAGTGGTAGGGGAGTGAGGCGTTCAGGTGACAGCAGCAGGTGGGAACTGGCATCATCTCTTTCAGTTAGTTAACGTCTGCAGTTAGTGGTAGGAGAGTGAGGCGTTCAGGTGACAGCAGCAGGTGGGAACGGGCAGCATCTCTTTCAGTTAGTTAACGTCTGCAGTTAGTGGTAGGAGAGTGAGGCGTTCAGGTGACAGCAGGAGGTGGGAACTGGCAACATCTCTTTCAGTTAGTTAACGTCTGCAGTTAGTGGTAGGGGAGTGAGGCGTTCAGGTGACAGCAGCAGGTGGGAACTGGCATCATCTCTTTCAGTTAGTTAACGTCTGCAGTTAGTGGTAGGAGAGTGAGGCGTTCAGGTGACAGCAGCAGGTGGGAACGGGCAGCATCTCTTTCAGTTAGTTAACGTCTGCAGTTAGTGGTAGGAGAGTGAGGCGTTCAGGTGACAGCAGGAGGTGGGAACTGGCAGCATCTCTTTCAGTTAGTTAACGTCTGCAGTTAGTGATAGGGGAGTGAGGCGTTCAGGTGACAGCAGAAGGTGGGAACTGGCATCATCTCTTTCAGTTAGTTAATGTCTGCAGTTAGTGATAGGAGAGTGAGGCGTTCAGGTGACAGCAGAAGGTGGGAACTGGCAGCATCTCTTTCAGTTAGTTAATGTCTGCAGTTAGTGGATAGGGAGTGAGGCGTTCAGGTGACAGCAGAGGTGGGAACTGGCAGCATCTCTTTCAGTTAGTTAACGTCTGCAGTTAGTGGATGGGGAGTGAGGCGTTCAGGTGACAGCAGAAGGTGGGAACTGGCAGCATCTCTTTCAGTTAGTTAATGTCTGCAGTTAGTGATAGGAGTGAGGCGTTCAGGTGACAGCAGAAGGTGGGAACTGGCAGTAATCTCTTTCAGTTAGTTAATGTCTGCAGTTAGTGAATAGGGGAGTGAGGCGTTCAGGGTGACAGCAGAAGGTGGGAACTGGCAGCATCTCTTTCAGTTAGTTAACGTCTGCATTTAGTGATAGGGGATTGAGGCGTTCAGGTGACAGCAGGAGGTGGGAACTGGCAGCATCTCTTTCAGTTAGTTAGCGTCTGGGGTTAGTGATAGGGGATTGAGGCGTTCAGGTGACAGCAGGAGGTGGGAACTGGCAGCATCTCTTTCAGTTAGTTAATGTCTGCAGTTAGTGATAGGGAGTGAGGCGTTCAGGTGACAGCAGGAGGTGGGAACTGGCAGCATCTCTTTCAGTTAGTTAATGTCTGCAGTTAGTGATAGGGAGTGAGGCGTTCAGGTGACAGCAGGAGGTGAGAACTGGCAGCATCTCTTTCAGTTAGTTAATGTCTGCAGTTAGTGATAGGGAGTGAGGCTTTCAGGTGACAGCAGGAAGGTGGGAACTGGCAGCATCTCTTTCAGTTAGTTAACTGTCTGCAGTTAGTGAATAGGGGAGTGAGGCGTTCAGGTGACAGCAGAAGGTGGGAACTGGCAGCATCTCTTTCAGTTAGTTAACGTCTGCAGTTAGTGATAGGGGAGTGAGGCGTTCAGGTGACAGCAGGAGGTGGGAACTGGCAGCATCTCTTTCAGTTAGTTAATGTCTGCAGTTAGTGGTAGGGGAGTGAGGCGTTCAGGTGACAGCAGCAGGTGGGAACTGGCAGCATCTCTTTCAGTTAGTTAATGTCTGCAGTTAGTGGTAGGGGAGTGAGGTGTTCAGGTGACAGCAGCAGGTGGGAACTGGCAACATCTCTTTTAGTTAGTTAACGTCTGTAGTTAGTGAAAGGAGTGAGGCGTTCAGGTGACAGCAGATGGTGGGAACTGGCAGCATCTCTTTCAGTTAGTTAATGTCTGCAGTTTGTGATAGGAGTGAGAATTTCAGGTGACAGCAGAATGTGGGAACTGGCAGCATCTCTTTCAGTTAGTTAACGTCTGCAGTTAGTGATAGGGGAGTGAGGCGTTCAGGTGACAGCAGAAGGTGGGAACTGGCAGCATCTCTTTCAGTTAGTTAACGTCTGCAGTTAGTGATAGGGGAGTGAGGCGTTCAGGTGACAGCAGAAGGTGGGAACTGGCAGCATCTCTTTCAGTTAGTTAACGTCTGCAGTTAGTGATAGGGGATTGAGGCGTTCAGGTGACAGCAGGAGGTGGGAACTGGCAGCATCTCTTTCAGTTAGTTAATGTCTGCAGTTAGTGGTAGGGAGTGAGGCGTTCAGGTGACAGCAGAAGGTGGGAACTGGCAGCATCTCTTTCAGTTAGTTAATGTCTGCAGTTAGTGATAGGAGTGAGGCATTCAGGTGACAGCAGAAGGTGGGAACTGGCAGTATCTCTTTCAGTTAGTTAACGTCTGCAGTTAGTGATAGGGGAGTGAGGCGTTCAGGTGACAGCAGAAGGTGGGAACTGGCAGCATCTCTTTCAGTTAGTTAACGTCTGCAGTTAGTGATAGGGGAGTGAGGCGTTCAGGTGACAGCAGAAGGTGGGAACTGGCAGCATCTCTTTCAGTTAGTTAACGTCTGCAGTTAGTGGTAGGGGAGTGAGGCGTTCAGGTGACAGCAGCAGGTGGGAACTGGCAGCATCTCTTTCAGTTAGTTAACGTCTGCAGTTAGTGATAGGGGAGTGAGGCGTTCAGGTGACAGCAGAAGGTGGGAACTGGCAGAATCTCTTTCAGTTAGTTAATGTCTGCAGTTAGTGATAGGAGAGTGAGGCGTTCAGGTGACAGCAGAAGGTGGGAACGGGCAGCATCTCTTTCAGTTAGTTAATGTCTGCAGTTAGTGATAGGAGAGTGAGGCGTTCAGGTGACAGCAGAAGGTGGGAACTGGCAACATCTCTTTCAGTTAGTTAATGTCTGCAGTTAGTGATAGGGGAGTGAGGCGTTCAGGTGACAGCAGAAGGTGGGAACTGGCAGAATCTCTTTCAGTTAGTTAATGTCTGCAGTTAGTGATAGGAGTGAGGCGTTCAGGTGACAGCAGAAGGTGGGAACTGGCAGAATCTCTTTCAGTTAGTTAATGTCTGCAGTTAGTGAAAGGGGAGTGAGGCGTTCAGGTGACAGCAGAAGGTGGGAACTGGCAGCATCTCTTTCAGTTAGTTAACGTCTGCAGTTAGTGATAGGGGAGTGAGGCGTTCAGGTGACAGCAGGAGGTGGGAACTGGCAGCATCTCTTTCAGTTAGTTAGCGTCTGCAGGTTAGTGATAGGGGAGTGAGGCGTTCAGGTGACAGCAGG